CATTTTGGGCTATATCCCCCTTTTTTTTTTTTTTTTTTTTGTAATTCCACTTATTGCCGGACACTAAAAATCAGGTCTAAACCCAGGTCTAAAACCAGGTCTAAACCAGGTCTAAACCAGATATAAACCAGGACTAAACCAAGACTAAACCACGTCTAAACCAGGACTAAACCAAGACTAAATCAGGACTAAAACCAGGTCTAAACTATGTCTCAAACAGGATTTAACAGGACTAACCCCTACTGTGTCTCCTCCTCTTCTATCAATAATATTTTTAATACGGTTAAGTAAAGTCTCAGCTTTTTATTTTCTTTTAGCAGACAAAACATCTCATGTGAAGATTTCCTCGTCTTTGCTCCTCTACAGCAAATCAAGTAATCCAAAGTTTTCAGATTACATTACTCACTTTAAGTAATTTAATGGATTACGTTACAAACTACATTTTGGGGTCTGTAATCTGTAGGGGAATACATTTTAAAAGTAACCTTCCCAACACTGCAAACAGAGGGGTATGAGCAATTTCCCAGAATGCCATGTGAATCACTGGCAAGATGGCTGCTACCATGACCACAAAGGAAGAAGTTCACAAGTTGTAGACGGCATGTTGGATTCTGGCAAAAGCTCGTCGCTTCTGTTTATGTAAAAGCTGGCGGAGACTACTGATTGTCGAAGGGGTGTTCCAATTCATAGGGGTTTACTTTCAACCCCTACCCCTTGTTGCTCAGTTTCAAGGAGCAAGGGGTCGGGGTAGGGGTAGAAATTAGAAATGGGGTTGGCCCTTAAAGGTCATGTTATAATGTTGTTACCACGTTAAAAACATACCTGGAGTTGTGTTTTAGTTCATTCACACATTAATCCTTTACTCACACAGTAATCCTTTATTATTAGTCTGTCTACATCTCCAAAGTTCAAAATGCTCTGTTCCACCTTGTGATGTCATGTAGTGGTAGTTTTATTCATGTTAACAGCTACTTTTGACATTTGGTTTAGTAGAGTTTGGCAATTCCAGGTCTGAACTCATCCAGATGATTCTAGTGAAGGTGTATGGAGTTTAAAAACACAGTGGAGCACCTGTATTACATCACAAAGTGGAAGAGAGTGTTTCAGTTTGAGAGAAGAACTTGGTCTAAACACGCAGGGTTTGTGTATTAAACATGTGTGAATGAAACCAAACACAACTCCAAGTCTGTTTGTGATGAGGACACAACTTTATAACATCAGGAAATAGAGTAATATGAGCCCTTTAAGTATAATAGCTACACTCTGCTAATATGAAAAGACTTGTTTGACAATGTTTCGGTCACGGTCCTCTTCTCTGATCGGACGTTTAAAACAGAATGGGACAGGAAGTATGACGACCAAATAATTCCAAGTGAAATTCCTTGCCACTCACAGAGAAACAGCTAAAGGGTTGATGTCTAGAGATCTGTAAATTACATAAGACTACAATGACTTCTATAACAAAATGTGAGCAGTTAAAGTATAATTTAACAAGACAACACAAGAGCTTTGTATTTGGCATATCTTTGTAAACCAGATTCTCTCATTATACATATTTTTTTTAGATTTTTATTTAGGCATAGAACAGGTGCAAAACTTACTACTCCACTATGTATTTGAGCAAAAAAATAGCTCTTGAATTCAAAATAAACAGCGTAATATCTGCATCTGATTATAAAGCTTTGTATTGTCAGATAATCAGGAAGTGTGTGTTATCATGCTAGCTGTTATTTGATTTAGAGTGACAGCAAAACTCTAGCCTGACTCATCAGCCGATTTCACTTCGTGGAAACCGTCTGGCCTCGCAGCATTAGAATTCATTCGCTTGACAGTAGGTGGGTACTTTTTTTTTTAACCAATCGCTGCTATTTGGTTGTGACATATGTAATGCGCCGCTAATGGGGTTAACTGGTATATTCAGCTTTTCCCAAATCCCGTAGGAAGAAGGGCAATAATGTCTTTCCCCTTGATAAAATTCACCAAACATTCTCTTTAATCCGTCTTTAAATCCTCGATCTTGGGAATCGTTGCCAACACAGAATGTATGGCTTTTCGCTGATTGGCTGGTGCCCGAACTCACACTTCCGTGGTTTGCGAACTGTCTAGTGTATTTTGATTTCTGACCTAGTTACTGGAGAGAAATGAAATTGATCGGAGGCACTAGGTGGCGCCGACCTGGCTCACAAAAGCTCTGTTCTGGTCTCTGAAAGTTTTTATCAAAAGTGCTTAGTGCGATTGAATAATGATCTGAATTCATAACACAAGTGAGGAATAACTTTGGATCAGAACTAGTATTGTTTTCCCCTTTTTAAGACACATTTTCTTTTTTCTTTTGTTTTGTTTTGTTTGGAATAGTGGTATGCAACGTGTGAGAGTCTTTGCAGGATAATTTTTCAGATCTGCAAAATTCAAATCCGAGCGTCCCTGTGTACATTCCTCGGGTTTGGCTTCTGCTGCACGTGTTGTCAAAATGAAAACTTCTCTTTTCAATGGGCAACAAAACACCAATCTCTCATGATGCATTGCCCAGGGTGGCTAAATGTTTTCATACAACAGACTTCCACAGAATAACATTATCTTTTGTGATGCTAAAAAGGTTTTGTTGGTTCAGCACACATTGTTGTTATGATTGTGAGATACAGCGGGTTCCATGTGAAGTCAACAAACGTCTCCTTCTCGTCTCCCTCTTGGATTTGATTCAAACTTTTCATGGCCATTGGTTGTATAAACATTTGCAGGGTTCAGATGACGTCACAACATTCTGTAGACCAATATTATTTAATAGACACAGGGGGCAGTAAAGTCAGATGGAATGCAGATTTTTGTTGTAATACACTGAGTTCTTGTGTCTAGTCACTAAAAAAAAGATCAGGTTTATTATTATTATACCTTTTGGATATTTCATTAGTAAAGTACAGTGTAAATGTAGGGTTTCAGAAGATGTCATAACATTCTATAGGCCAAGAGTCTCCAACCTGTAGCTCGGTAGCTACCAGCAGCTCTCCACCTCCTTCTAAGTAGCTAAAGGAATTCTGACTGACGGTATTTTTCGGACTATAAGTTGCTCCAGAGTATAAGTCGCATCAGCCATAAAATGTGTAGAAACAAGAAAAAAAAAACATATATAAATCACACTTTTTGGGGGAAATTTATTTTATAACATCAGAACTAGGAACCAACATTTCATCTTGAAAGTCAAGTTCTAGTAAAAACAATAGAACAGAGAACAACAGACTGTTAACGAAACATATGAACAGTTCTTCAGATAAACTATAAACAACAGAACAGAACAAGTTTACAAAACTCTCGATCATCAGTTCCAGTTCAGAATTATTCTGGCCTTTCTGAATCTCGACAGGATGGTTTCGGTTGTCGCTGAAGTCACTTAAATGTTAAATTTTTAGTGGTACAGAAGTAATGGTGCGATCGACTGACATGATCCCAGACAGGACAGAGGCTCTTTCTGCAGAAGACATGTGCAGTAGAGTGAAGTGACAGTGGTACAGGAGGAACAGGAGCAGCAGATACTGACACACAAGACTAGAGCGCCCTCTTGAGGCTGTCAGTGTGAAAATTTTAATATATAAGTCACACCGGAGTATAAGTCGCAGAAAACACCCAAACCATGAAAGAAGTGTGATTAATAGTCCGAAAAATACGATATACACATTGTGCTGAATGACTCAAATTTGATGACCTACCATTGTTAAAGTATCACTTTGATGCTGAACTTTGTGCACTAATAAATGGATACATTTTTATTTTTATAGGTACCTAACTCGGTAAGCTCACCAGAACATTGGAGACCTCTGTTCTAGACTAATATTAATTCATACAAATGGGGGGCAGCAAAATCGAATATTGTTAAAATACAAAATCATGTTGTAATACAGTGAGTTCTTGGATTTAGTTAATAATTGAAAATACCAGGTTCAACATTTGTGAATTTACATTTTGGAGATTCCATGATAAAGTAGAGTGTAATCATTAGAAAAAACTGGCTCTTGCCCCCGTCTGGGAGTATGACATTATCACATTCCAGAACCTGAAAACCACCAAATAGTGAGTGTATCAAGTTTGGAGCTGCTATTATTTAGTCTGTGAGATATGTGTTCTTTAAATGCAATACCTAATATGCTACATGACCCTTTCTGAGCCTTAAAACAAACTCAAAAAAACATGCTTTATTCACGCTTTAATACAAAATCGTCTTCACATTTTGACAGTTTTATTGCATCACAGGTAAAAATCCGGACTTCTCAGTTACTTATTCAGTTTTCAAGACCGTAATTCATCACCGCACGTCAGCAAACACAAACTAGCTTTTTAGTCATTCCAGTAGTTGTGTCTGTCTGAAAGTAATGCTCAAATATTTTAACCGATTACAACTTAATAATTTTCTTTGCTACATATAAAGCATTTCATTTCATTAATTGGATTTTAATAGCTTTTATTAAAAAATATCTTGATATATGCATGGTGTAGAGGGACACGGACAGAAGAGGAGCACTTCTTTCTCTTCTTTCTTAACTAAGTTATTATGGATGGAGAGGCCTAAATATCTCTGTTTGAATCATTTTTAACAATGTTTAAGTTTGTATAATACGGGTGAATTAGACGTGCATATTGATCTTCATATTTCGTGATCTTTTTTAACCAACTTTAGGAGTAATTTTCTGCATCAATATTGGTTCAAAAGTGGAAGAGAGTTTGAAGTGTTGAAGTCTCTGTCAGAAAAGTCTCTGTGTGGAGGCGTCTTTTAGCCACAGCTGTTCAAAGATACACGACTTTGAGAGCTTGATGTAGGCGTAACTCTTTCATGCTTGAGATTTTTTTTCATTTTCCCCATGACAATTTGATCTCGCGAGATTTTGTGGCACAAGATGTCATCCCATCACTACAAATGACTCAGTCCAATGTAACTGTCAGTCAACACTTTATTACCTCTGTATTGTTGAATGTCTCCACTAACTCTTATGTTTTTTTGTGTGTTTTTACAGAATGAAAAGCAGCTGGGTCACTCGGCGAGCAGGTCCAGCAATATCTCAAAGGTAAGGAACACTTGTCACTTGTGTCATGATACTAGAGTATCGTTATCATAAGCTGCTGTATTGATATATCGCCAAGAGTATTTTTTTTGCATCTTTTAACATTTTTTATATATATTTTTTTGTGACTGCACTATTTTTTTTCTTATTTTGTGAAGAGAAGCTTGTTTATACTATACACTTGACATATTGGCTGTTTTGATGATTAAAATACATGTATTGCATATTAACTTAGCACAGTTAGTGATTTAATAAAGCAATATTGTTGCTAAAATGTGTTTAGTTCTTATATTGATTATCGTATGCATCGCCATATCCATGAGTTTTGTGCTGGGGGGGACAAACATTTTAGCATCAAGGCACTACATTCAAGATTTAAAGTGTGTATTGCCATGTGCACAGTAATGAAACGCCTTGCTCTGTACAATGAAATTATTGCTTTACTGTCCACACCACATTGCATGAATTAGAACTATTCCGTTGTCACCAGAGCTATTGGCAATGGTGAAAACAACCTGCATAGGCTCATGATATCTCCAGTACTGCCCCATAGTGACCTGAGACATAAGGGACCAGGATTGATCCAGGAGGACTAAACCAGGACTGAATCAGAACTAAAACAGGACTAAAACAGGACTAAACCAGAACTGAACCAGGACTGAGTATCTGGAGGGAATACTCAGGGAGAAAGGACCTGCGCTGAGCTCCGCGTGAATGCACTTTGCAGACACCCTGCTCGGGGTTCTCTCTCTCTCTCAAGTCCAACATTAGTCCTGGTTTAGACCTAGTTTAGACCTGGTTCAGTCCTGTTTTAGCCCTGGTTCAGGGCTATGAGCCATGTATCGAGTATCGTATTAAATCTTGAGAGACCCTGTGATTCCCAGACTTTGACTTTTTTTGCATATTGTGTCTTTCTTCATTCTTGTATATAGGTTTAATAAGAAAACGCCTGACATCTTAAATTAACTTTTTGTGTATCTTTCTTTTTATCTATCTCTCTATCTTCCTATCTATCTGTTTATTTTCCTATCTATCTATCTGTTTATCTAGTAACTGTAGAAGTAGTACAATTAGTTGCACTTGCAGTTAAAACATGGGATATGCATAAGGATAAGAGCCTATAGATAACATGATAAACACACTACTTCATAGAAACTGTGTGTGTTTGTGTGTATACTAGCAATGCGAGGACATGCTTTTTATACCCGACTCCATCTTTGTACACTGATGTGATATTTTTAGACGTGTGGAAAATTCAGGTACACATGCAGCGGCTTCAAGGAAATGAGTTTTTAAAAAGTAATTTGACTTTTCGAGATTGAATTTAGGCTTGAATCACACCTGGTCGTGGAGAGGGGGCGGTGTGTAACCTTTGGCAGCGTCTAAAGCTTGTATAGACTCAGATGAATAGTGGAAAGTTGCATTCGCTACGGAAGCCCAGAAGGGACATGCTGTTGTCTGGTGTAGTTAATTGTATTCTGTGGACACATGGTATAGACTTTTTATTTTTTGAGGGGGTCTATGACTTGCTTGTTGCTATGGATATTTGATTGCTCTGTCTGGAATGTTCCACAGTATGACATTAAACAGCTCTACCTTATAATCATTCAATTACAGGTAGTTGTATAGCTCAGAAATACCGAGAAAAACAGGCATTCTGACTGTGAGCGGGGTTGAATCTCCACAGATCTGACTTGTAACTTGGTCTGGTTTGGTCTCCATGAAGATAGAAAGGTTTAATGCCATATTGTGAAACATTCCAGACAAACAAGAACATCTCCATGGAGAAAAGTGTTTGATAGGCCCTCGACCAGAAAAGTTACGCATGTTTGATGGAAATTTATACTGTGGAAAGATTTCTCTCAATTTGTCTTCGTGTCTTTGTGTCTTTTTATCGAACTTTTTTCACAAATAAACCGCACCGGACTTTAAACGAAACACAACAGTTAGATGGCTCAGTCGGACTTTGTTTGGCGCGTTCACGGTGACTCTCAGTTTTGTTCAGTCGTGGCGTGTAGGGAGGATGGTGTCTGGGACCTCTGGATTGGCGTGTTCGCAGTGACGTGTTCGACTCGTTCCTCCGTTCCGTTCCTCATCGGCGTGGAGTGATGAGTGTGGCTGCGGGTGTGTTTCGCTGCGCGGTCGCTGTCTGCTCCGTGTGTGTTTGCGTGTGGGTGGTGCGGCTTTGTAGTTTACTGAAGTCGTGCTGGGACACCTGAGTGGATTCGTGTATACGGCGCTCTGGATTCGTTTTTTGATGGGGTTGGAGTTTAAGAGTGCGCCCTATAGCCCTGAAAATATGGTAAATAAATATGATTCCTACCTGAGACCAGACCCCCACAGGAAAATACTGATTATGATTGATAACATTGAAATAGTGATTAGTTTCTGTTTTTAGAAACTCATTTGGTTTGGTAGTTAAAGAAAGACCCTTCAGTGTACACACTTCTATTCCCTTTTGCTTAGTAAACTTGTCGGGAAATGCATTTGAATATGGATGCAAATCAGATCCAGCACATCTGGTCGCACATCAGTAGGAGTCATCACCTTTGCACTTTGAAATGTCCTCTGGTAATCTCAGGCGATATAAACTCGGTGCTTCGTAAGATTCAGGGTCAGATGTTGGAGGGACAATCTGCTGCCTAGGCCCTGTCCATATCTGCTGTAACAAGAATAAACCTCGATCTACATTCCAAAAACTCATCGGGCTTCGCAAATGGATTAATTATTTATCATCAAGAGATATATATGTTTTTCTACAACACACCTTTTAGAGATATATTAGTTGATACCGGTACTTCTTAAAGTGTTGTATATCAGCACTGTAAACAGTATTTGAGTTTGTAGTAACTTGAACTTGATCATTCTTTTATTATGGCTTAAAGCTGACAAGAGTCAAGTTTGTGTAATATTGGACTTTTAATTGTTTTATTGTGTGATGAACTGTATCAATGAGCTACATCAATACCCAACTTTATTTTTTATATGTACACTACTGGTCAAAAGTTTTTGAACACCACACTTTTTCCAGTTTTTTAGTTTTTTACTGTTTACTGTTGACCAAAATCTAAACTTTTGATTGATGAACGTGTCCACCTTTGGCAGATGTAACAGCTGAACACACTCATGACTCGTTCTTTTTACAACAGAAATCAAATATTCTTCAGAAAGTTCTTCCCAAGTTTGTTGCAGAAGTTTCCATAAATGTATGGTACTTGTGGGTTGTTTCACTCTTCTATCCAGTTCATTCAAAACCAGGTCGATGAGGTTTAAGTCTGGACACTGTGCTGGACACTCCATGTTTTCAAGCTTTACCATCTTGTTCTTTTTTCCTGAGGTAGTTTTGGCAGAACTTGGACTTGTTTTTTGTACCTTTTATCTTTTTTTTTACCTTTGTCTGTTCTGTTCTTACCTTTGTACCATTTCAAGCTCTTCATTGGACTTGCACGAATTGAAATGCAGTAAATAACTGGAAAAAATCTAACACTTTTGACCGGTAGTGTCTTCTCTTGTCTATCTGTAAAAGTAGTACTGTTAGTAATATTTTGTAGTACGATGCGATTTCCCATGTGACTACCGAAGATTGAACTCGTCAAAAGGACTTACATGGAAAAGGTCAGAGAAAAAGTAACTTAAATCAAATTGGCCTTAGATTTTATAACCAATTACAGCTGAAAATCTGACAACAGCAGGTCCAGAGTTACACCAGAAACTTACGAATATTAATATGTGACTCATCAATCATAGCTCTAATTCCTTTTAAAGGTCCTATATTACGCAAAATTGACTCTTGTGAGCTTTAAGCCGTGTTATAAAGTGGTTATGAAGCAGTACTTTTATGTCTGAGAGGAGAACTCTTAAATATGCAGCGTTAAACATGTGTGAATGAAACAAAACGCAACTCCAGGCATGTTTAAAGATGAGAAAACAACATCACAACACAGATCAGAAAATAGGAGTAAAACAGAAATATAGGACCTTTTTGAATTCTTCGTCGAAAATCCTTCTCTTCTCCTCTCACTTCCCGAGGGCGCGAAAGGTCAAATCTTGCACACCGCTCCAATCCTCTGAGCCTCTTAGCGGATCAGGCCTGTACCGCTGCTGCTAATAGACGCCGGGGTCAGAGCGTTTCCACGGCGACGACCCCGCTCGGCCCGGCGATCGCTGAGGGCTTGGGTTACACCTGCGCTATGGAGTGACATTAGGAGGACGGTGTTACAGTACATCTGAACACAAACACAGGCAGGTGCACGAGTTACAGTTCTATAAACAGAAAGAGATTAGTAACATTTGAAAAGATGAGGAAAAGGTCAAAAATGCAGCTGCTATTTCTTCAAACCACTCCACTGTGTTTTAAACTCCACACACCTTCACTAGAGTCATTTGGATCATTTTAGCTCTGGAATTGCCAATCTCTACTGAACTAAAGGTAAAAAGTGGATATTAACTTGAAAATTACCACTGCATGACATCACAAGGTGGAACAGAGCATTTTGAGCTTTAGAGATGTAGGCAGACTAGTAATAAATGATTACTCAAACATGTGAATGAAACAAAACACAACTCCAGATAGTAGGGGTGTAATGATATTGATATATTCACGGTATAAACCTCGCGGCAGGATATTTTTTGCGATAATGTTGGAAAAGCTTTTCAGAGATATAACAATATCCAAATCTCTCGGTACAATTTTTTCATGATATACATCTTACGGTACGATATTTATTGTGATATTGTATGGAGGCTAACAAAATCGTTAATATGCGACTTTTTCCTCTTAAAATGCCCTGACAAGACTTAAACAAAAGAACTAAGACTTAAAAGAGCTTAGAACTGTTATTTCATTTTGTAGTTTGGAATGAAATGGTGCAAAGGATCATGGTCTATGTAGTTCTTAGGGTTAGTTCTTTTTTTTAGCTATTGCTGCAACATAACTCTTAATTTAAGCAAAGAGACTTGTAATTCGATATATTGTGATGGTCCATGATATTATTGTGAGAACT